TAAATTTTAAATATTCAATTCAAATTAAACACTACTTCTATCTCATAAAATTGTCTTTTATTGACTTTTTAAAAGTCAAAATTTTTAAAATTTGATCATAATTGTTTTAAATAATTAAATTTAAAAAATATATATTTAAAAGCTATTTAATTGAATATTTTGAAAATAATTTTTTTATATTTATCAATAATAATTTTAATAATAAATTAAGATTAAAAAGTTTAATAAAAAGTTAACAATAAACATATTTAAATTAAAATTTCAAGTCGATCGTATTCACGTGCATCCGTAAGAACAACCCACCCTGCACGTGCATTTTTTAATTTGTTTATCAATTTTGTATTGTAATGTGGATCATCACCTCCTCAGTAATCATTGCAAGGGATGGGAAATTTTATTTATATAATACTGTTCCCCCAGTCCATTAGGGAGAGGCCGGAAGCCAACATCCCCAATCTATCCAACCACATTTTGACACATCAGCAGTTTTTTCCTATATTTTCATTGGACAATAAATGAAAGGAAGAAATGTTGATTTCTTATTTTTAATATTGATTATTTATCGTTCAACTTCTCTTTTCTTTTCTTTTCTTTTCAAATATGTTTTTATTAGTTTGATGTATTCGGAGATGTTATCTTATTTTTAATACGTTAGTTTGGTGTATTAGTGAATTGTTATTTTAGGGTTTAGATTTTGAAATTACTTCATACGCTCACTTGATATTTTTTTACTTAAATATGTTAATTTATATTTATATTAAACGCTATATAATATTAGTAGATTTTATTTAGTTAAAAATAATGTAAAATTTAACGAGCAACGAGCCAAATATCGAGCTTAACAAGCAATGAGTCAAGTTGAGCAACAAGTTTTTTAACAAGCACAAGTCGAGCAAAATTTTTATGAGTTTGATGAGCAATGAGTCGAGTTGAGTAACAAAACTTTTTTAACGAGCACAAGTTGAACATTACCTAACTCGCGATTGACTCGCTCAATAAGCATCCCCAATTGAGATTTATTAAATTGTTTTTTAGTTAAATTTTGGTAAAATATTATTATTATAAAATTTTTGATAAAACATGCAATAATATATGAAAACTTTTCATTAGATTATTTTTTACTTTTTTATAAATAATTAATACAATTTACTAATATTTTATGATTTATGTTTTAAATTATTTTTTAATATTTTTATTATTATTACATTCAACTCCTATCATGATTTATTTCTATATATAATGAGAAAACGGTTCAACAAAAGGTATTAGGTATGGTAGTATGTAAGATTTACATTTTTTTTATAAATTTTAAAAAATATTTTAAAATATAAATTCATTTGTTATCTATAAGGGGTAAACGAGTCGGGGCTTGAGTATGTTTACCTTGACTCGACTCGAAAATTTTAAAATTGAGCTCGACTCAAAAATTTGCAAGCTTAAAATTTCAAACTCGACTTGAACTTGAAATCCTGAACTGAAGCTCGTGAGCAGCTTGAAAATGTTCGAAATGAAAAAAAAAATTTAAACTTAACTCAATTAAAGCCTCAAACTAATATGAACATTAAATACATGAAAATCTTATTGTATTTAAAAATCAACACATAAATATTAATATTATAAATAATTTATTTTTAAAAAATAAAATCTTAATATATAATTTTCGAGTAGCTAACGAGTTTTTCGAGTCGAGTATCATGTAGTTCGTTTCGGCTCATTAAGAACTCGCGTCGAGTCCATTCGATCCGAATATTTATCAAACCTGATCGAGTCGATCTCGAATAACTCACGATCTATCTCGTCTCATTTACAACCCTAATTATTGATACTATAACTAAATGTTAGAATTTGAATTTATTAAAATATCTGGTTATACGTGAAGCACTCCAGGATGAAGAAATGAGCAATGTAGTTGCTTAAGTAGTGTTTTAATCTTTCTTTACCAAACAAACAGACAAAAAGCTTAAGAATAAACAAGTGCTTAAATTCTATTTTTTTTAATAGGTGCTTAAAGTATTTTTAACGATTTAAGATGACTAAAGTTATAAACATTATCACTTTAGGTATCTAATGTTTATAAATATTATCACTTTAGATATTTCGGTGTTAGCAACAGTTAAAACACCATGTTAAGTGACATGTGTCACAATCTGATAATTTCAAAATATTTTTTATAAAAATAAAAATATTATTAAAAAAACGTGTGTTTTCTCTCCCCTTCTCTCTTTCCCTCCCCTTTCATTTTGTCATTTTAATTTTCATGGCCAAACAGTCAAATTTAAATGGTCGACCAATCAATGGCTAAGAGGCTGGTTTCCACAACCGTTTATCACGATCGATCAAATGAATTTAAGGAATTGGGTATTTGAGAATTGGGGATTAGATATTGAAATTTAGGGATTTAGGAATTTTAGGTTTTGAAATGATATTAAGAGTTGTAACTAGTTAGTGGGTGGTTAACGACGTATAAGTGGTCCGTCATCGACGAATGAGTGACTGTAAATAACCGACGATTAGAGTAAATGAGACTAAAATAAGAGATTTTAAGAGTTAGTTTTTTTGTATTTAGAAAAAATGGGGGGTTTCACAAATAAAATATTTTTAAGTTTTTTAAATAAAATTTGAAAATTATCAGATTATAACACATATTACTTAACATGATTTTTTAATATTGTTAACATCGAAACTTTAAAATTATAACGTTATAACGTCAGATACTTAAATAATAACGATGATTACTTTAAGCACTTAAATGAGCTGAAAATAATTTAAGTACTTATTTGAAAAAAATATAATTGAGACACTTATTTTATACTTAATAAAAAATATCTTATTCATAAAACCTAAATTGGATATTTACAAATATTCAAATCCCAGTATTCGTTGAAGGGTCGTTTCATTATCCAAAATGCACGTGTCTGGCAGTGTATGCAGTGTATTGAAAGGATCGGAACCGAACTCAAAACCATGGGGAGCCCCCACCAGCACACCCATACCTAGTTGTCGGACCGACCATCAACATTTCTACCTACACAAAATATAATAATAATAATAATAATAATAATAATAATAACACTAATAATAATAAAACAATTGTTACAAAATTAACCTAATAATTCAAACAGAATAATTATTCGAGTTTATAGTACGATTTAGAATTTAATTAATAGCAATTGATGCAGTGACATGGAACTTTTCGTAGGAAGTCGATGAATTTTAATAAAATATATTTTTATAAGAATTTATCATTCCTTAAGATAAATTCTAATAATTTTAAAACTAATCACTTTGTGCGGATTTATTATTTATTATAATAAATATCGTAGATTTTAAAATAATTTGTTCTATTAGATTATTGTCCTGATTTTGATGTAAATTGTTTCAATTTAATTTAGAAAAAAGAATTTTTTTTAAATTTAATTATTAACTTGCCTTAACATTATATTATCTCTGAAAAAGCATTTGGATCACTTAATAATTTATGAAAGATGTCTAATCACTTAGAGTGTGTTTAGTTCACGGAATGTAAGATTACCAGTGAGAATGTAAGATTACCAGGGAATATGATATGATTACTGGAAATGTTGTATTTTGTGTTTGATTGGTTTAACAGGAATGTAAAATTATCGTGTTTGGTTAAAGTAATAAAATATTATTGAAATGTATATTTGACCAAATTGTCCTTATTATATATTTGTTTTTTAACAAGTTGGAAAATATTTATATATTTTCTTTAAAAAATTTAAATTCATAAAATTTCTATAATTTTTTTTTACAAAATTGAAAATATAAAAATGTTTAATGAAAGGGTAAAATTTTATTTTTAATCCTTGAACTTCATATAAAATTTTAATTATAAATTTTTTTTTGTAAATCTAAAATAGTTTAAGGATAATTTATAATTTAACCTTCATATAATTTTTTTATTCAATGACAGAAGAAGAATATTTTTGAAAAAAAAATTAAGGGAATTTTAGTCCAAACGTCGGTAATCCAACAATACCTAAGAAAATGGAGGTAATGACATTTCCGGTAATATACCCCAAAAAATTTACTATTGATAATATTACATTACCGGGAATGAAATTCCCGGGCTAACCAAACGGGAGAATGTGAATTTCACTCATATGAAAATCTCGCATTCCCCCCATCCAAACGCTCCGTTAAAAATTTCTAAAAAAATTATAAAAGACATGTTATTTTTGAGAAAATGTAATTTACTTGTATACATATAGTTTAAAGAAGTAGTCGTATTTTCTGGACGTCTTCTAAAAACTGTCAGATTATTTTGCAAATATAATAATATTAAATATGGATTATAATCGATAAATTTAATTTAGAATAATTTATTTTTATTTGAACAGTTAACTGATAAATAAAAATATTATAACATATTAAAAATAATTAAATAGAAGTTTTTTTAAATTTTTAAATAAAAATTACGTGACAAAATACATATGTATCATATAATAATAATATAATATAATATAATTTATATAAAATCAAGCTTAAACCAATAAAAAATAATGAAAAAAAACACACCAACTAAGTTGGGCAGTACTCGACTTATGCTCGTTAAAAAATTTTGTTGTTCGACTCGATTCATTAAACGTTAAACTCGACTCGTTGCTTGTTAATTTCTCTAAAAATTTACCTTTTTTTAAACTAAAAATAAAATTTATTAATACTATACGATGATATTAAGGTTGAGTATGTTTTTTTTTGTTTTAAAATAATATTATTAATTAATAATATTTTATTATTTATTAAAAAATAATAGATCAATTAACTTATTATTTTTATTATTTATTAATAAATTAATAATTATTATTTAGGTTTATTTTTTAAATGAAATAATTTTAAATTAATTACTAAAAATATATTTTAAAAAATTAACAAGGTATTTATAAATTTATCGAATCGAATTAAACTTTATTCGGTTCAACTACTCGTTAATCACCCCTAATTGCATTCAATTTCTTTATAAAACTTGTTGCGTCTTCCCTCTCCCTCAACCCTCCTTCCTCTGGAATTCCAACCCACTAGTTTCACCAAATCGGTGATAAAGTTGGTTTGTTTTTTTGCAGAATTTTCATCTGAATCTCCTCGTTTTCAGTTATAATCCACCGAATCGTACGGTTCAAAAATAGAGAGGGAGAATATCAACGGGACTTGATCCTGTGAGATGACGTCCACGATAACGAATCCGGTGACGAACGCGAATTCCGATCGGAGCATCAAGAGGAGTAAGAAGAAGAAACCATCGGCGGCAGTGTCAAAAGAGAATCAACAGCAGAGCCACGCCAAATGGAAATCAGAGGCTCAGCAACAAATCTATTCGTCAAAGCTGATTCAAGCTTTGAGCCAAGTCAGTCTCAGCAGCAACAACAACACGAGCTCCTCTGTCCCGTCGGCTCCACGCCGTGGACGAGCCGTGCGTGAAGCCGCCGATAGAGCCTTGGCCGTCGCGGCTAAAGGCAGAACGAGGTGGAGCCGAGCCATTTTGACGAGCCGTGTTATGCTCAAGTTTAGGAAGCACAAGAGATGCAGAGGATCTACGGCTGCGTCGGCGGTGGCTGCCGTCACCGGGAGTAGCCGGTGGAGGAAACCGAGATTTAGCGTCTCGAAACTGAGAGCGAAGAGTTTACCAACTGTTCAAAGGAAAGTCAAGGTCCTTGGCCGGTTAGTTCCCGGCTGCAGAAAGCAACCGTTCCCGGTTATTCTTGAAGAAGCAACTGATTACATTGCGGCGCTTGAGATGCAGGTTCGCGCCATGAGTGCTCTCGCTGACTTGCTTTCTGGCTCCGGAGCCGCCAGCTCTAGCTCAGCGCCGCCGCCGCCGACCAGCCAATGACATCTTTTCTGTTCCATGATTGCCAAGTATAATCGTCATCTTTATTTTTATCTTTCTCTGCCTTCCTCTTTCTCTCGAGTAATCTTCTCTCGTGTTAAATACATGTGTTCTTCACTACTTTTCATCTCCCTTCATTTGATCCATAGCTTTGTTATTAGAAAAAAATATCCAGCATTTTGCCCATATTATGTACAAAACTATTTCTCTGGAAATATATTCCAATAAGAAAAATTGTAAATGCTTCATGCTTGATTTGTAGAGTATCACCACTCCTTGATTTTCATGCTCAAAATAAGGAAATCGAAGTTTTTACTTTTGTACTAGAATCCCAATGTTAGATAGTCACCTTAATCTCGATTAAGTTCAGAATTGAATTGAATTAGACCTACTTAGGGGTAATTTCTTCGGGTATTGAAGCTTTAATTAATTTCCATTTTAGGGTAGTCTCTTCTAGTATTATTATTCTTCAGGGCCAAATTATTTTTTTAATAATTTAACAATACATCATATCTTACAAATGTATATGTTCGAACTCGGGTTTATCTTACATATGTATATGTGCGAACCCGAATCCTCTAATACATTGGAGAAGGGGCCAAATTAGGGAAGATGACAGAGGGAGCTTTGATGCCATGCCTGCTAAAGGCCAAGGCTCTAAAACTAATAAAATAGCTGCTAGACCCCGATGCTTAATTTATGTAGGGATGATATCCGAGGAGTGATGTTTCCATTTTTCTATGCTTAATGCCAATATTATGAAATGACTTGTTTGGGTTTTGTTAGAACTTCATTGAAAACTCCAAACGACAAAATCCAAAGGAACATTTCTTTTTCCCTCCCTACCTTCTACACCATTAGGTATGAAAGTTTCCTTTACACATGTGACACCCACTTCTCATTTCTTAGTGCTTTGAATTATATTGAGGAAGTGGGATGGAGAATGAAGCTATATATTCTATAGATTAGCTTGCTATGAGAGATTATTATATATATGTTACTTGAAGGGCAAATATCAAGGTAGAACAAGTTAGGTGAACCCATGTGTTAGTTCATTTATATATTTTAATTTTATGGATAATATTGGTAGGTATGGATGGAAATTGGGACAGAGTAAATAATTATTTGGTTTAATCAAACGAGATACTAGTTTTTTTAAAGTTATATTAAGAGTTTTAAATTTGATATTATAAATGAAATAAATTGAGTTGGAAAGATCGTCCTCATAAATGAATTTATGTAATACTTGATTTAGATTAATTAATCAATAGATCATAGGAATAATCAATATATATATATTATTTGAATATTTGTTATATTGACAATGATTTTTTAATTATTTAATTTATTATTATTACCGTGTCCTTTTATTTACATATAAACTTTTGGATTATTTTATGGGTAGTTAGAAAAAGAGTTAGGTAAATGGATGTGAATATCCAGGGAAATCCAAGTGCAGAGTCCAAAAGTTGGGGGCCAAAACAGAAGAGTAATGAGAAATGTTGCAGGGTATCCATGCGGGTGAATATGTTAAATGCACTTTTGACTGTAAGAGAAGGTGATGGAAAGTTATGTTGCATGACAATCTTAATATATAATTAAGTAAAGACGTAAATAGAAATATTATTTTTTAATATTTTTTAGTAAAAAATACTTAAAATATTTTTTTATTTAAAATATTATTTTTTTTAACATTTATAGTAAAGTGTCTAATATTAATATTTTCGATAGAAAAAAATAATGTTTTAGGTCGTGTTTTACCGGATATGTTAACAAACCCGGTAAAGCACTCAATAATAACATTTCCGGTAGAAATAATAATGTTTTGGGTAATTTTTTTACTAGAAATGTTAAAAAATAATAACATTTCCGGTAGCACATTTTCTTAACCGTATATTAAACTGCCGCAAGTTAAACTTTTCCGAATGTGATGATTGATTATTGTATTGCATTTTTTATATATTTTATTATCTATGTTCTAATATTTCTCTCTTAATATTAATATTATTTTTAAGATTATTTTTTCTATGTTATGTTATTATTGCACCTGCCAATTGTTTTCGTTAATAATCTAGGATGATTATAAAATAATATAAATTTTTTTAAATGATTTATAATGTACATTCACCTTACAAATACAATTGCTTAAATCTGGAACTTTTAAAAAACAAATTTCCTTTTTAGTCAATGAGGCTACTTAATAGGTTCTTCACCTACCAATTGTTAATGACTATTGATGATAATGTATCGCATTCTACGTGATGATTTTCTTATTAAATAAGTTATAATATGATTCTTTTTATACATAATCAAATGAAATTCAAGTTATAAATTCTAACGTCATAAAGAAACATGTAATTGATTCATTTAAATATATATATATATATATATATATATATATATATATATATTTATGATTAATATATTTGCATGATTACCACTTTTATCTTAAGAATAAATGTTGTATAAGTTCAATTCATCTAAAATTTTAAATTTATTAAACGATTTTGTAGTTAAAGGAAATATTTTTTTTAAATATTAACTTTAAATAGTTATGTCTATAAAATATTTGTTATTAATAATTAATAATTTTTTTAAATATATATTATCTTAGAATTATTCAAGATAATTCCATGAAATATTGGGAAAAGATAATTAAAAGTAATTAGGGGCCGAATAGTATGAAAAAAATCATAAAATGATTACAGTAATAATGAGAAGTGTCAAATCTGTGAGTTTTACCAAAAATTCAAAAATAGGCATGAAATAGTTATAAAACTTAATAGATTTATTTTTTGGATTCAAAACTTTAATTAAATGAAAATAATAAAAAATGTAATTAATCTTTCTAAAGATATTTTTTTTCTTCATATTAATTTAGGATGATTATAAGTGGTAGTACATGTTTTAAAGGCTCTGAATCATTTGACAATGAACATTTTACTCTAAAATAATTGGTGCTCGAATCCGAAACCTTTAGAGATAATAATCATCATTTAACTATTAAAATCGCTTGATTCGTACAAAATATCAAAAACTTTAAACACCTTTCTATCAATAAGTTTTAATTTTATAAATAAAATAGAAAAGTGTTACAAGTGTAGGAAATAATAATTTATCATAACTTCGTAAACAATTTAGTAATAAATTTATGATAGAAATTTATGGTAATATATATATATATTATATATATATATATATATATATATATATGTTATTTCTTTTTGTCTCGAGAGAAAATCACTAATTTTATTAAAAATAGAAAATATACATAATTACAACGAAGATTTATAAGCATAACCAGAAACGTAAAAAAATTATAATTAGGACATTTTCCTATAACTATAGACACAAAAACTAGCCACCTAGATCACAAGGACCAAAATGTGAAAAAAAATTAAAAAATCTAAACAATGCTTGAACAAAATAAATATATGAACAAATCTGACTGTATCGGCAAATAAACCACAAAAGGGATGATGAAGCTACTGAAGACCACTGACAAATCGCAAATCATAGTCAAACGACGTGAGAAAGCTATCTACGAATACAAAACATGTATTCAAATTAATCCGAGGGTCCAAAGCAGAGAATATCAACATGATAACAAATAAACATCATCTTGATCAATCGTGGTGATGTCAAATCCAACTCTAATAAAAAGATAAACGAAAAAAAATAACAAAAGATCGTAAGCTGCCAAAAGACAGAGAAAAACGTACCACAAAGATAGAGATAAACATGTCATAAAGGCATAGAACATGTCACAAATACATAATTATTCTTATTAAAAAAATTAATAAAAGACAATCGATGGACGATAATCAACATCAAATTCGATGTTACCGCCGGTTAAACAAAATTAAAGAAGAAAAAATTGGTTTGATCAATAAAATTGACATAAATTATAAAGAAAAATAAAAAAAAGGGGGAGAGATGTATACTATTTCTTAATTAAGCAAAATGGTTTATATATAATTGTATTATCAAGGGGACACCAACAAAAGATTTGGTGGTGTTTCAATTTATTTTTTCAAATAGTGGTTTTTATTTCATTTTCACAATGACTAAATAATCTTATTTTTAAATAAAAAGAATCTATTCTCTATGGTGCCTTTCAAACTAAATGACGATTAATAAATAAATAAAATGTGATGTTTTATGATCTAGATTCGATAGATAAATATATCTAAACTAAAGCATTCCCACTAAACAAGTTGTTGAGAGCTAAGTTTAAATGTGTTAATCAAACTCCAATATCTTCTTATCATCGACAAACTTCCTTCACTCAAAAGCTAGAAAGCTACTATTCACCTAATAATCCTCTCTTGTTATCAATCAATTAAATTAAAAGGTAAATTATGCGTTTAATACCTAAACTATCAGTTTTGGTTTATTTTAGTACATAAACTTTCAATATTTTCAAAATCATACCTAAAGTTTAGTTTTCGTTTCATTTTAGAACCCCACGGTTAAAAACTTCGGTTTTTGTTTTATTTTTAGCACCTCATTCAAAACTTAACGTTAAGTTTTGAAAAGATTAAAAGTTTAGATACTAAAACGGATCAAAACTGATAGTTTAGGTACTGAAAGCGTTCAGTTTTTAATGGTGGTACTAAAATGAAATGAAAACTAAACGTTAGGTATGTTTTTGAAAAAAATTAAAAGTTTAAGTACTAAAACAGACCAAATGTGATGGTTTAGGTACTAAATACGTAATTTATCCTAAATTAAATTATGTCAATAAGATCTTAAAAAAGCTAGGTGGTGTTGGTTTTTGCAGAGGTAAAAGGTCTGCGAACCACATCTGCAGGCATCTACCACAGAAGAGGTGGACCAAAAATTTGCAGTCTGCAAGAAGAAGACTGTTTGTTTTTTTAACGTCTGCAGACTGCTAAAATAAATTGAAATATAAATAAACTGATTTTTTAAACTATACTCAAATAACCATATTTGCTATTAATTTTTAAAAAATTATAAAATGTCATTAAATTTAATGAATTATTACAAATTAGTCACTATATTGTTGTAATAAATTATAAAAGTTCGATAATATAATAATTATTTTATAGTATTTTGATAAATTTATTAATATTTTTATAATATTTTAATAAATTTAATAAGTATTTTATAATTTTTTAAACTTATTGACGAAAATAATCATTTGTATATAACTCAACGATATCTAA